TACCGAGACCGCTGCTGCGGTACACCCGCAGCAGCGCTCGCGTCGCGGTGGCCGTGGACGCCAGGGATGTCGGGGTGGTGGCGCTGGTGGTGGTGGGAGTGGTGGTGGTGACGGTAGTCCGCCTGAGAGGACTACCACCGGCAGGCAGGAGCAGTCACAGTCCCCTCTGCAGCAGGAGCAGCCCCAGCCGCAGCCGCCATCCCAGCAGCAGCCGCCGCAGCCGTGGGCTCATCTCCCGCCTCGTTGGCCCGGCACCTTCGGAGGTAGTGGCCGTGGTGGCGGCCCGCACAGCTCGGCGTCTACTGGCGGCTCCGGTGGTGTGACCTGCCAGTACCAGCTTCAGACCGGGCCTCTCCGCGGCACTCTGTGCCGCCGATCGCACCCGACTGCCCGCTGTTTCCGCCGCCTCGACGATCTCTTTCGTCGTCGCTTTGGCCCGGCCCCGGACCTCCCCGACTGGCACAGCCTGCTCCGCCAGGGCGTGCCAATCTTTGAGTTAGACATGGATCAGATAGGTGCTGCTTTGCATGCCTTGTATTCTGACGCTTCTAGTGTTGCTAGATCTTATTACCCTGTGCACTCTAGTTTAGGTGTTGCACCCTTGTGTAGCTTAGCCTCCCCTGCTATATGAGGCGTAGGACTGCCTAGTTTGCCTAGCCTAGTCCCTGCACCGGCTCCGTTCCCGACCTCCACTACTGCCTCGCTGTCCTTCACTCTCGACTCCGGTGCTTCTGCCTGTTTCTTCCGCGACCGTTCCACGCTCACGCCGCTTGCTGCGCCTGCTGTTGTCTCTCTCGCTGACCCCTCTGCGGGTCCTGTCGTCGCTCGCAATTCCACGTCCCTTCCCTTTCCAACAGTTCCCTCGGGCTCTCTTACAGGCCTCCACGTTCCCTCGTTCTCGAGGAACCTAGTTAGTGTCGGCTGTCTCCAGGACCTCGGCGTCACCACTACGTTCCCTGGGCATGAGCGGTTCGTTGTCTATTCTAAGGCTGTCTCAGGTTCCCCCCTTGCGACGTTCCCCCGGGACCCGGTGTCCGGTCTGTTCAACCTAGACACCGCTTCCCCCCCGGTTGGTGCGTCCTCCCAGGTCGTTGCAGCTTGCTCGTGTCGGTCCCTCACTCACCCGTCCCTTCTATGGCACCACCGCCTAGGTCACCCTGCACTCCTGCGTCTGCGTCACATGTCCCAGCACGGTCTTGTCTTAGGCCTGCCCGCGTCGCTCCCCGCCCTTCCCCTCTCGCCTGCTCCACCGTGCACGCCCTGCGTCAAGGGCCGGCTCCGCCATGCCCCTCACTCCTCCTTGCTTCGCCCTGCTACTGCTCCCCTTCAGACCCTGCACCTGGACGTTTGGGGTCCAGCCCCCATCCCCGGACCGCGTGGCGAGCGCTACTTTCTTGTGCTCGTCGACGACTACATGCGCTACACCACGGTGTTTCCCCTGGAGCGGAAGGCCGACATGCCCGACGTTCTTCTCCCGTGGGTTGTGGCTGCGCGTCTTCACCGCGGTCTCCCTGTCTTGTGTTTCCACTCTGACCGTGGCGTCGAGTTCGCTTCTGATTGGCTTGGACAGTTCTGTCGTGCAGAGGGCATCACCCAGTCGTACACCTTGCTGGACTCGCCACAGCAGAATGGGGTTGCTGAGCGCCGCATCGGCTTGGTCATGGAGGTGGCTCGTACCTCCATGAGCCATGCCGGTGCACCCCATTTTCTGTGGTCGTTCGCCGTTCGCTACGCTGCTCACCAGCTTAACCTGTGGCCACGCTCCCAGCGGCCGCAGGTTTCGCCGACCCTCCTTTGGACCGGGTCCCCCGGTGACGCGTCTGCGTTCCACATCTGGGGCTGCCTTGCTCACGTTCATGCCTCTGGCACGGACAAGCTCACTGCCCGCACTGTCACCTGTGTCTTCCTTGGTTTCCCCCTGGACTTGGCTGATTGGCTCTTCTACCACCCGCAGTCTCACCGCTTCCTCCACTCTTGTGACGTCACCTTTGACGAGTCCGTCTCCTTCTACCGTCGCTTCCCTCACCGAGGTCTCCCGGGTTCCCCCCCCTTGTTCCTTGCCCCCTCTCCCCCGGTAGCACCTCCTCCCCTCCCGCCTCGTCCTACCCCGTCTGGTGTTTCCCATGTCACTCCCCTCCCGTCAGTTGTCCCTGTTGAGGAGTCTGCTGACTCTAGTGGTCCCCCCGCCCCGCCTTTGCCGCGTCCCCCTTCCCTGGTGTCTCCGCCCCTGCTGTCGCAGTCGCCGCCGTCGTCGCCGCCGCCACTGTCGTCGCCACCGCCGCCGCCGTCGCAGCCGCCGTCGCAGCCGCCGCCGCCGCCGCCGCCGCCACCATTGCCGCTCTTGGCCTCTGAGGGTGCTCGCGCAGAGGAGGGTGTTCGTTCTGAGGCACTGTGTATAGCTTGGTCTTGTTCCTATAGCTACTCACTTGTTAGGATCCTGATTGTGTATTCTCTACTATATATACCTTTCTGACTGGCCTTGTGGCCTTATCATCAGTGGTTGGACTAGTAGTGCCGCCCTGGCTTGCTTTTGTCTTGTGTGTACTCTTGCTGACTGGTCTTTGGACCCCTGCCTCAGTGGTTGGAGTAGTAGTGCCATCCTGAGCTGTGTGCTTCTTGCGTGCACCACCCCTTCTCTAGCCTAGGGGGTGTGTCCACTTATACATATCATGAATGTAGAAGTTATAGGCTAGTATCGGTGTGTGCTCTTAGTGAGTACAACCCAACTGCTATATGTTCTCTGTTTTCCCCTCTAGTAAAATCATTCACGTATTCTAACAGGATCCACCATTTCGCCGTTGTTTTGGGCAGCTTTCGGCACGCTGGCACTGCGAATACAGCCGTGGCTGTAGGTAATTATCTTGTTCTTTTTTCCAAGGCAACGGATACGCAGTAAGCACATGGCGTCCTCCTCCCCGTGTGTCGGTTTGTTGGCTCTGATGGCCATGTGTAAAGAAGCGAAAAGAGTGTGTGTCGAAGGATTGAGTAACGAGGAAACAGTACAACTGAGGCAACATCAAAACAACAAGGAGCAAGGATATACCTAGCCTACAGCATACGGTCGTGGCTCGGCAGAGCTGCGACGTGTGGTTTGTAAATTGGCGCGAAGTGCCGAGATCGAGGCAAGAAACAGCAAGACAGGAAAAATGCATGCGGCTCGTCAGGAGGCCACATTTGGGTACCGCGATTTGAATTTCGTGGCAGAGCTGCTCGGCAACTCCGTTATAGAAGTGTACGCCTTACTAACTAAAACCCGTGATAAGGAAATACCATTTCCTTTCAACGTTACAGCCTTCGCTGTACCACCCGCTTCGTTTCTCCACTGCGCCCTTCAACTGTCACTCTGAGTAACGACAAAATGATGGGTGAGGGCGGAGTTGATGGGTTTGATGGGGGTGAGATGGCTGGATAAACTGGATAAGCCAGGTCCAGGGCTCTGGCGAACAGGGTAATGTTTCTCAATGTCACGAAATTAGGAGTAGTTATCTACCTGATTCCGTCTTTATGAGGTATTTGATTCCGTCTGCCTGACGGATTGCTTTTCGTGTGATTCCTTGACAATGCGGGTTACTTTTCTTTGATTCCGTATGAAGTGCAACTGCAGTAGGGGATGTGTTCGTAGTGGTGGATCACCCCTTCACACCCTCCCCTATATTTTTCCCAACTTCCTCCACTAAGCAAAGCGCCAGGCTAGTTGCCGGTAGTTTTTCTACTCTTCCAACTGCCTCAGGCGTAGCGTGCGCGAGTAACAGTCCCCTGGGTTTCGATGGCTTTTCCTTAGCGTGGCCAAGGCCATTTGCCTACAAGGATGTTACTGTATTGTCAAACCAAGTGTAGCTCTTCGACGAATCCGTATACTAACGGGTAAACTTTCGCGATTCCGTCAGCTAACGGGTATTTTCGTGGCCGATTCCGTGACCTAACGGAATACCCTAGGCTTATCGAGAGCCCTGGCCAGGTCCATAATGCCACATCGCCACTTCCGTCGGGTTCTGCGGTTCAATGATAAATAGGTTTGGCATTGTAACAGCTCATGGATCTCAGAATTTTCTATGGTTGTCCGTTTCTGACACGTCACTGTTTCGTATCCATGGCGTGGCATTTTGAGAAGCTGCATGGATCCCTCGCAACAGCTATGGTTTCCACGCACTCTGAGGAGGAGGGAAGATTTCATTGGTGAGGGTGGGGACAACAGGTGACGGATGGAAGCCTGAAATCCATGCCGACACGAGCGATTCGGGCTGTATTGATGGACTTCATTTTTCAAGCGAGACATCTGCGTTTGGGATTTGTCACAGGGATTCATGCAAAGCTGATTTATCCGTCTGCAGGGTTGGTGTTTTGGGGCATTTCTTGCCAGTCCCATTCCTAAAACCGTCTTTTCTTATCACGACGAGAGTTAAGCATTTGCTAAAATATAGTCGGAAAGACCACATTTAAATCGTTAAGTGTGGGGATGGTCATGGGGATAGGAGGACTTAGAAACGAGCCCCCTAGATTGTAAGAAACATAGTCGATTCGCCCCTGAAGGGGCTGGTCGAGTCATGCTGCCTTGCACCAGTAATCATAGACAGGCAGCAGCAGGCAGCAGTCAAGCGTGCGAGGGAGACATGAGAGTGGAGCAGAAACGTGGACACAGGGAGCCAACGTGGCCTAAACCTAGAAACATGGAGCTTGCTTTCCTCGAAACTCGTTTCGCGCATGCGAAATCCCATGCGAATATTGACGTGTCCCCACGAAATCGTCTGCCCAATCTTCCGTTCTCGTCGCACAGACAAACACCATCTCATTCCAGTCAGTGGGGGACTCTTCTTCGCGGGATACGGTGAAGGCCAACTAGGTTACGCCCGTCGCCAAACTTCGGGCACCTGCCACACGCCCTTCCTCCTGCTCAATCGGACCTTGGGGAAGGTGCGATGGACTGTTCTCTCCCTCGCACCAGCTCAGCGGTACCCTACCCTACCATCCTCACTATCCGCACCGCCCCTCACTCCCAAGTTCTTTCTTTCTCGACCTTATTTTCTGCCAGCTCTTCTCTGTCACCTCCGTGCCTCATTCGTGGCCGACTCCTCGCTGGTTCCTCGTTCCGTCTCCGTCAGTTGAGCCTGTGGCACCACTCTCCGTGCTTGCTCGCTCTTCCAGTTCCAACCCTCCTTAGTCACCCTCCCCCTTCCGTTCACGCTTTCCTCGCGTGCCACTAGCTTCCATTCCCGGCTTGCCCATCATCGGGGATCCCGCTTTTCGCATCCGCATCCACCTCCGCCTCCGCCTCCGCGTCCGCTCAGCCATCTCTTAGAAGAGCATCAAGTACAATCGCTGAAGCAACTACGTGTACAAGCGGTTAAAGTCGTTGTCGCTGCAAGGAGATGTTGCAAGGCCCCTCGCGCTGGCTCATCTCCCGTCACCCCGACAGCGGTCCCTGGTTCGTCGAGCGGAGGCTGTGCCACATCAGCGCTGCGCGATTCTTTTGCGACGGAGACGACGAGGAGCCACCGGAACGCTGGTAGTTAGGACGGGACAGGTGGCGACGGCGCAGCAGTCCGACTGGAAATCTGGCACCACAGGGAGGGGAATTCGGCACCTTTGGGTGGTTTGCTAGACCCGTCAAGCCATTAAGGCCGTGTTGAAATGCGCTCGTTCCTGGGCACAAGGGAGAAACAGGACTGACAGCGTGAGAAGGGAGGAGGAGGGGGACAGTCCACGAGGAAGTGTGCGGGATTGCTCCGTCGGTCGCGCGTGCAGTCAGGGGGGTCGAATCGTCGTCCGTCCGACCCCCTGGTTACGGTTCGCGTGACTTGTACAGCCGCGGAATTCCGCGCGATACTAAGAGTACTAATACTGGCCCATCAACACTTGGCACGGAGCGCAGTGGCACGTGGTGAATTCTGCACTGGCCAACCCGAAAGGGTTCAGCTTTCGGAAGGTGGAATACTAGATTCTCGCGGCGTAGCAGAGGGCGCTCCATAGTATTTAGCCGATTGCAACGGGAAGCTTTTATTACAAGGGCAACCTTTTTTATTACTGGAGGAGAAGCCGCGTTTTCTGACGGACGAGAGGCACGAGAGGGCACGAGAGGGCTACCGTTCCGTGCGCAAAACTGGGGCCTGCCGCGCTGCTGCAGCTCCCGCCCATCTCCCCGTAACGACTTGGCTCAACGCCCCAGGGCTGATTAGCACTACAGCCCAACCATGGCGCTGGTTCTCGCCGCTACTTCCAAAAACCCCGCCGCTGCCGTAGCAGAAACAGCAATGGCATCAGCATCAGCAGCAACAGAGGTCGTTTCTGCCCCTGCGTCTGCGGCTGCGGCTGCAACAGGCCGTCACGACAGTAGTGGTACGAGCCCCTCCCGCAAGCGGCTTCACGACGGCACAGTCGTCGGCGCGACTCACGGCCCGCGAAGCTCGCCGGACGAGAAGTCGATTCACGCCACGCTCACCGCCGCCGCCGCCGCCGCCGCGGGTGCTGCTAAGGCGACCCCAGGCTCCGCGACCAACGCCGTCGCAGGCGGCGTCGCCACGGAGTCGGATGCAGCAGCCGGCGACGGTTCGCGACGCGTGGGGACGGGGATCTCCCTCAAGCGCCTCAAGACGGAGAGCCGCGCGCGCAGCTGGGCGGCTGGACCAGCGTCGTCGGGCGGTGCAGCAGGCGCAGCTGGCGGGCGCCAAGGCGGAAAGAGTGGCGGACCCGCGCGCGCCGCATCATCCGGCGGAGCGCACGGCAGGGGCCGAGCGGGTCCGGCCACATCTGCCGCCACGACCAGCGCAGGCGGAGAGCTAGTTCCCGCCATGTCGGACGGCGGCGGCGGCGGCGGCGGCGGGTGCGCCGTTGCCACCGTGAGCGCGGGAGCCGGCCCGGGGACTCCGCACCGCGACCGCCACAGCAAGGTGCAGACGTCACGGGGGCTCCGCGACCGGCGCGTGCGCCTGTCCGTGCCCGCGGCGCTCGCGTTCTACGACGTGCAGGACCGGCTCGGCGCGGACCACCCGTCCGAGGCGCTGGAGTGGCTGCTCAGGCACGCCGCGCAGGCCATCGCGCACCTCCCCGCGCCGCCCCACCGCGGCTCCGGCGCCGCCGATGAGGGTCCCGGGGCGGGACGCGCATTGACTGCGCCAACGGCTACGGCAGTCCCTGCTGCGGCGGCGGCGGCGGCTGTGTCCACCGGGACGTCGCTCCCTGCGCCAGCTGGCACGGCGCGCGCGGCTGCCCGCGCTGCGGCGCAAACCCCCGCCGCCGTTGCCGCCGCCGCAGCTGCTGCGGCTGGCGCTGGTGGTGGCGTGGATAGCGGAGTGACTTCCGGGCGTGCAGCGGCTGTTGTAGGTCCTTTACCGTCCTCGTCTGCTGTGGCTCTCTCTGCTGCTCTCTCTGCCCCTGCGCGGTCTCTGTCCACGGGCTCGCCCTTGAACGCCTGTTCTACCTTGCCCCCCAGGAGACAGCCCTCCATTCTCGCCCTCCCGCCCCCCTTCCCTCCTGTTCCCACTGCGTCAACCCCTGGTGTCTCTTCTCCCGCTGCTGCTGCTGCTGCTGCTGCTGCTGCTGCTACTGCGTCGGCGGCGGCTGTAAGTACGGCGCATCAGGCGAGCGCTGCAGAGGCGGCAGCAGCGCTGGCGGCTGCTGTAGCTGGCAGGCGGCAGCAGAGCCACGTGGTTTTCGCCCTGCCTGCCACGCCGGCCTCCTCTGCTCCTGCTGCTACGGGTGCTGGTCCTGCAAGGGGCACTGGTACTACCAGTATGGCTGCTGCTGCTGCTGCTGTGGCTGCGGCTGCGGCTACTTCCCCTGCTGGGGCGCGCATTACCCTGTCAGCAGCGGCTGTGGCTTCGGCATCCGCTGGCGCTGCGTCTGGTGGCGTTTCTGCCACTCCCACTGGCTCTGTGTCGCTCACCGGGGGTGCTGCTGCTGCTGCTGGGACTTTTTCAAGAGGCGAAGCAGGGGGGGGAGGAGCACGGCAGGCACTCAGTGTATGTGTGACTGGCCCGTGTGCCACGGCTACTACTACAACCACCAACAACAACGGCAACACGGGCAAGAGCTGCAATGTGTATGGGGAGAGCAAACAGGCGGATGGTAGTGCCGCCACCACCACAAGTGACAGTCAGCATCAGCATCGGCCTCGGCATCAGCAGCAGCAGCATGGGTACCATACAAGCGGGCCTCTCTACCAGAGCAGCCATCACCATCATCAGCGGCAGCACCTCCGCTACCCCCACCACTCCCACCACCACGTGTACCATCCCTCAGCGCTCGGCGCGCTTCCGGTTTCTGTGGGTGAAGTGTCGGCCAGCTTGACACGTGGCACCACCATCAGCACCTCGTCTTGCCACTCCGGCCCGTCTGCCGCTGCTGCCGCGACCACTACTGCTGCCACTGACGCCGCTGCTGCTGCTGCTGCTCCGAGCGCTGCTGCTGGCGGTGCTGCTGCGCCTGGTGGTGCTGCGTACCATTCCATGGGCAATGCTTGTGGCGGGATGGACTTTAACGAGGACGACTGGGGCCTTGGGGAGTCGAAGCTGGGCTTTGACTTTCCGTGGGAGGCGAAGAGAGAAGTGGGAGAGGAGGTGGGAGAGGGGGAGGGCGAAGAGGATAAGGACGACGATGAGGACGATGAGGATGGGGAGGAGGAGGAGGACGAGGAGGAGGAGAGGGAGAGGGAGAGGAAGAAGGTGGTTGTTCGTGGGCTGGTGGCTAAAGCAGTGGCGGCTTGTGGGGGTGTGGTGGAGGGCGAGATCGACGGAGTGTACTGCGTGAGGCGGGAGGGCAAGAGGTTGCGGTTACCACCGCCGGTAGACCAGGATGCCAAGGGCGAGCCGGTAGCTTCGAACGCCTGTGCTGCTGGTGCAGTGGTGTTGCCTGTGGTGCCTGTGGTGTCTGCAGTGCCTGTAGTGCCTGCAGTGGCGTCACAGCAAGGCCAGACTGTGAGTTCAGGCGTGGAAGAGGGGGAGGTGCAGCAGAGCCTGCACCGTCACCACCAGCAACAGGAGCAGCTGGCGGAGCGGCAGCAGCAGGAGAAGGAGCAGCGGCAGGACAAGAATCAGCAGCAGCAGCAGCAGCACGAGCCGCAGCAGCAGCATGAGTTGCACGAGGCGGACCAGCACCTGGCCGGGCTGACAGCGGAGGAGATGGAGCAAGCCGCGCACGGCATCACGTCTGCTGCGGCTGCTGCGGCCGCGCCCCTGCACCACGTGCCTGCTCACCACTTCCCCGCGCTCTCCGCCCCCGCTGCCCTCCCTGCGGACCACCACACGAGTGGATACGCGCACACACACCTGCATGGGCACGGGCATGCACATGGTATGGCGCCCAGCATGCTATGGTCATGCAACGCTCGTGAACCCCTGTTGACTGGCTGATGCTATCTTCTGCCGTTGCCGTTTCACTGGTGCTGTTTCTTGTCTGTCCCTCTGTGGCTCTTCTCCTCTGCTCTTCCTCTTTCTCTGTTCCCCGCCTCTCTGCCTCTCACCTCCCACCACTGCTTCCTGCTAACCAGGCGCAGCAGGTCCCATCCGTCAACTAATCCGGCCTCATTCCCGCCCCATCTTCCCATGTCCCCACGCTTCCCCCGTTCCCTCAAGCAGGCGGCAAGGCCCTGCCAGCAGCTGCGGGCAAGCACATGCCAGGCAAGAGCATGTGGGCGAGCCCAGGCATGCTCACGTCCGTCTTCTCCTCCAGCCTGGGCGATCTCATGGACCTCAGCGGGCCCGACGGCTGCGATCTTGCCATCGCCATGGGGCTGCCGCCCTCGCCGCTGCACTTCCCCAGCTTGCACCATGGGGGCGGGGATGGGTATGTGGATGGGGATGGGGGTGGGGCTGGGGATGTGGATGGGGAGGATGAGCTGGCACAGGCTCGTGCCGATGATGATGGGTTCGCTCTGTGTGGCGGTTTGAGTGGTGGGGATAGTGGTCTTGGTGGTGGCTCTGCTGCTGCTGCAGTGGATGGGGAAGGGGATGTGAGCGGCAACGAGGGTCAGGGCGACCCCAGTGTGCATGGCGCGTTCCATGCTGCCGCCACCACCTCTCATGCTGCTGCCGCTGATGCTGATGCGACTGCTGCTGCGGCTGCTGCTGCTGCTGCTGGTGGGTCTAACGACGATGCCTCTGGCAGCGGTGCCACGCGCAGTGGTGTGAGCACAGACCGCCCTGCTCTCTCCCATCTGGAGTCGGCTCAGGAACTGGCCGCTGCTGCTTCCCTCTGCGCTCCCATAGATGACCAGCAGCAGCAGCAGCAGCAGCAGCACCAGCAGCAGCAGCAGCAGCAGCAGCAGCAGCAGCACCAGCAGCAGCACCAGCAGCAGCACCAGCACCAACAGCACCAGCACCAGCAGCACCAGCACCAGCAGCACCAGCAGCAGCAGCAGCTGCAGCAGCATCAGCAACAGCACCAGCACAGACACGAGCAAGAGCACCATGAGCTTCAGCAACGACACGAGCAGCAGCATGCACGTGAGCAGCTCAGCGAGGAGAACATGGGTGAGGGGATGGCGGCTGGTGAGACGAGCCGCATGGAGCAAGATTCTCAAGAGCACCAGTATCAGCTTCAGCAGCAGCAGCAGCAGCAGCAGCAGCATCAGCAGCATCAGCAGCAGCAGCAGCAGCATCAGTTGCAGTTGCAGCAGCACCACCAGCAAATGGTGCATCAGCAACATTGCCGTTACCAACACCAGCAACACCAGCAATATCAGCAATTTCAGCAATATCAGCATGAGGCCGCTGCAGGTGGTGGTTTTCCCTTCAGTACCCATCGGCCACACCTTGGCTCAGCACACCACCATCAGCAGCAGTTCCAATTGCATCAACAGCAGCAGCAGCAGCAGCAGCAGCAGCAGCATCTGAGTGGGCCCAGCAGCAGCAGCAGCAGCATGGAGCATCACCCATCGATTAGAGCCACAACCCCTGGATCCAACTCTTCCAAGCCTTGCCGCTGCCAGCACCAGCACCAGCACCAGCACCAGCACCAGCACCAAGCCAACTCACTCACTACCAACATCGCTGGCGCTTCTGCTACTCCGCCTGCCTCCTCACTCCACACATGCCAACATGCTCACTCCACCGCTCACCCACACTCACACCCTCACTCGCTTTCTCTCACCCAGCCTCACTCCTCCCTTCTCTCGCACTCAAGGCATCACCCACCCTCACTACCAGCTCTCCCTTCAATACCCGGTCTCCCACTTCGAGGCTCTATGCCCATGCGGCACTGCCGGATGCACCCTGGAGCGGAAGCTGCTGCCGCTCCCTGGGGTAGTCCGTTCAACTCTCTCCGCCCTTTCACCCCGTTCCCGCCGCTCCACCATCCAACCCTGGGAATACTGCCTCCCTCTGCGGCTGCTGCTGCAGCAGCAGCCGCAGCAGCAGCGGCCCATGCGGGGGCGATGATGGGAGGTGATGGTGATGGGCTCGTGCCTGGTGCCTCTCTGCCCGGTGTCGCCGTGTCGGGCCATTCTCTGGTGTCTGCCGCGCTAGCCCTGCCTTGGTACGACGGCGTGGGCCAGCACATGGGGTATGCGCCACCTGCTCCCCCTTCTGCTCCTGCCATGGCGCCCTTTGGTGTGTCTGCTGGTGCTCTAGATTCTGCCACTGGCGGTACTGCTGGTAGTGCCGGTGCTGGTGCCCGTGCTGGTGCTGCTGGTGCTGCCGGTGCTGTATCAAGGCCTTTGGAACACCACCATCAACAGCAGCACCAGCAACAGCAGTCGTCGCCGGCGCAGCAGGAGGGGGAGCAGGAGGGTGGTGAGAGCAACGGTCAGTCACACAAGGCGCAAGACGGGTCATCCGCCTCCTCTGCTGCCAACGCTGCACGCGCATCTGCTGCCGATCCCTCTGCCTCTGTCTCCGCCTCTGCTGCCTCGGCCTCTCTCACCCCCCCTGCAACAGCAGCTGGTGCTGTGGCAGGCGCTAGTGCCGGACCCAACGCCATCATTGTAGATTCTTTTGCCGCTACCCCTACCCCGACCCCTGCCACTGCTGCTGCTACATCCACCATCACAACCACTGCCGCCGCCACCACCTCCCACCCTATCCCCCACTCGCACCATCAGCAGCAGCTCATCCTGGCCTCCACTGGCTCCTCCCTCGCCACTGCTGCTGCTGCAGCCAGAGGGGCACCATACCCATACACCCGAATTTCCCATGGTCCCATGGCTTACAGTCACTCCCACTCCCCTTTCTACCCAGACCCTACGGCAGCTCGGTATCTCTCACCTGCGGGCGGCCTTACCCCCTTGCACCACCCCCATCACCAAACCCATGCCCCGCCAGGCATGTGCAGCCGCCGTAGCAGTGGCAGGAGAGGTGATTTGTGCAGTAGCAGAGAGTTCAATGGTGGGAGGGAGTTTGGGAGAGACTTGGGGAAAGAGATTGGGGGTAATGAGCACTGTGCACAAGTGTGCTGTAGCCCTGTTGCTACTGGTCCTGCTGGGGCGTCTGCAGATGCCGCCGCCGCTGCCGCTGCTGCCACTGCAGCTGCTTTTGGAGGGTTCTGAAGGTTGACGCTTCCTGCACTATTTGTTCGAGATGCTAGGTCTGGACTGGAGATGATTTCTTGCGTAATCCACTTTTTGTCTTGTGTAGAGAATATAGATGTCTTGTGTTTGTGCATATGTGAATATGGTGAATGATGTAGTGTTTGTGTATTTGTAATGAAGCTAAAAGAGCGTGTGTCGAAGGATTGAGTAACGAGGAAACAAAACAACTTAGGGAACTCTCAGAGTTAATGAATGAACTAGAATGTTTGATACAGGGTGGTTTTTGTCAAACACATTTGTGTGTGATGTTGTAGAATGTAGACCATATAGGGTTGTGCCTTAGAGAGTACAGCCCCCTAGGTTATAATTCCTTGTACTCTCACATTCTAGTCATTCTTTCAGTTTGATATGATATCAGAGCGTGGAACAGGAGAGACAGGACAAGCACGAGAGGGACGGGGGGATCAGACGTGAGACGGAGCTGTCGGGTCAGGAGACAGAGGAGAAGACACAGGAGGAGAACGTGGGGGAAGACGAGCCGGAGACGAGTCCGGAGGAGGGAACACGGGGCCGTAGACAGGAAGGGGAGCAGACGGTGGAGGAGGCAGAGACGCGCGGTCAGGGGACGGAAGGCCGAGCAGGCGAAGGGCTAACACCGGCGGCGACTGCTGCTGCGGCGGCACGACGACGACATCGGGACCGCCAGCTGCTCCATGGCCAACTCCGGAACACTCCACTCCAGCACCCCCGGAACCAGGAACCTCTCTAGCACCGGTACCACCCCCAGGCCCGCCGGGACAAGCCACAACAGGAACCCCAGGACGAGCACCCTCCTCAACGCCAGCACCCCCAGGGTCGACGAACTGCTGCTGCTGCGGCTGCGACGACGGCTGCGGCGACTGCGGCTGCGACGACGGCTGCGGCGACTGCGGCTGCGACGACGGCTGCTGCGACGACGAAGGAGACACCCGGGGAGGGGCGGGCGGCGAGGACTGCGCAGCACGGCCACTAGAGTCAGCAGACTCCTCGACCGGGACAACCGACGGGAGGGGGGTGACGTGAGACACACCAGACGGGGCAGGGCGGGGAGGGGGAGGAGCAGGGGCGACCGGGGGAGGGGGAACAAGAAACAGGGGGGGAGTAACCGGGGGACCACGGTGTGGAAAGCGGTGGTAGAAGGAGACGGACTCGTCAAATGTGACGTCGCGAGAGTGAAAGAAACGGTGAGACGTCGGATGGTAGAAGTGCCAATCAGACGAGTCGAGGGGGAAACCGAGGAAGACACTGGGGACGGTGCGGGCAGTGACCTTGTCCGTACCAGAGGCACGAACGTGAGCAAGGCAGCCCCAGATGTGGAACGCAGACGCGTCACCAGAGGACCCAGTCCAAAGAAGGGTCGGCGAAACCTGCGGCTGCTGGGGTTGCGCCCAGAGGTTAAGCTGGTGAGCGGCGTAGCGAACTGCGAACTGCCACAGAAAATGGGGTGCACTGGCATGGATCATGGAGATACGAGCCACCTCCATGACCAAACCGATGCGTCGCTCAGCGACCCCATTTTGCTGCGAAGAGTCCGGCAGGGAGAACGTCTTGGTGATGCCCTCCGCACGACAGAAACGACCAAGGATGCCGGAGGCAAACTCGCCACCACCGTAGGAGTGAAGACGCAAGACAGGGAGACCGCGGTGCACACGCGCAGAGACCAGCTACGGGATAAGAGCGTCAGGCACGTCAGCCTTCCGCTCCAGGGGAAAAACTGTGGTGTAACGCGTGTAGTCGTCAACAAGCACGAGGAAGTAGCGCTCTCGACGCGGCCCATGGACGGGGGCAGGGCCCCAGACGTCCCTGTGCAGGGTGTGTAGCGGTGCGGCGGTGGGGGGGAATGAGGAGGAGTGAGGGGCACGGCGGAGCTGGCCGTGCACGACGGCGCTGGGAAGGAGGGCAACTCAGGGAACGACTCTGGGAGACCTAGGACAAGATTGTGCTGAGACATTTGACGCAGACGCAGGAGCGCGGGGTGACCTAGACGGTGGTGCCACAGAAGTGTCGGGTGAGTAAGCGACCGACACGAGCAGGCCGCAGCAACCTGGGTAGACGCAACCACCTGGGGAGACATCCCAACCGGAGGGGGCGCGGTGTCCAGTGTGAACAGGCCAGACACCGGGTCTCGGGGGAACGTGGTAAGGGGAGCACCAGTGGCGGCCTCGGTACAGAAAGCGTACCGCTCGTGACCAGGAAACGTAGTGGTGACGCCAAGGTCCTGGAGGCAGCCGACACCAACTAGGTTCCTAGAGAACGAGGGGATGTGCAGGCCTGTAAGAGAGCCCGAAGGAACCGCCGGACAGGGAAGGGTGGTGGAGCTACGGGCGACTACCGGACCTGAAGAGGGGTCGGCAAGGGAAACTGCGGCGTGAGCGGCAAGCGGCGTCAGCATAGTGGAGTCGCGAAAGAAACACCGGGAAGCGCCAGAGTCCAGGGTAAAGGAGTGGCGGCCAGGGTCGGAGCGGCGAGGGAGGAGCTAAGACAAAACAAGGCAGGGGATCCTACGCCTAACGCAGCAGGGGAGGCCGGACTAGGCACACCTACACTAGGCAACAAGGGGTAGTAGGAACCAGTCACACTAGAGTTATCAACATACAGCACATACAAAGCAGGTCGAATCTCATCCATGTCCATATCAAATATCTGAACACTACGGTGAAGCAAGCTGTGGCAGTCGGGGAGGTCGGGCGACGGGCCGAAACGAAGACGAAACAGGTCGTCCAGGTGACGAAAACAGCGGGCGGGAGTGTGACCGATCTTACCGCACAAGGAGCCGCGGCGAGGACAGGTCTGGAGCTGGTACTGACAACGCCCGTCACCCGAACTACCACCCGACGGCACACTGGGCGCATGACCACCACGTCCACCACCACCACCAGCGCCAGGCCACCCAGGCGGGAGACCACCAGCTCGCCGCTCCTGCTGATGCGGCTGCTGCTGCGGCGCCTGCTGCTGCTGCTGGTCCTGCTATTCGGAGGCACCAGCCCCAGTCCCCTCGTCCGTACTACCAGCGGGCGGCCTGGCTCCACCACCTCCTCCACCCCCTCCTCCACTACCGCCGCCGCGCACATCCTTGGGGCAGTGACCCTTCCCCAGACGGAACTGCGCTGCGGCGACTGTCGCCACAGCAGGCGCTGTCTCAGCGATAGCAGTAGAACCGTCAGAGAAAGTACACTGAGCGAGGGCACAACCCTGAAAGATAGTGACCGGCACAGTACCGCTAGAATGGGCGATAGAGCGCTGGCGGGTCTCTATGGCAGACAGGGTGTCGACAAAGTCAGTGAGGGTGAGGTCAGCAGGGTGGAGTCAAAGGAAGTGATCGCGGGCGGTAGCAAGGCGGTCAGGAAGGCGGGTGGCAAGCAGGTAGAGGGTAGAGCAGATGGGTGGCTGAAAGACACGAAGCAGGGGCTCAGTGCAGGCAGCGCGCCAAGTCAAGTCTAGCGTGCGCAGGTGGGCGGCCAGGTCAGCGACTGTGGGGAAAGACGCGAGATCGGGAAAGAGCATGGGCAGGATCAGACGACCGACCAAGGCAGCAGGTGGGGTGAAGTATAGCGCGACAACAGCTTCGAGGAACTCCTGCGCAGTCCTAACTGACCGAAAATCGTGGGCACTCAGACAGGGGGAGGGCATGACTGATCGCGAGCTGTGCGACTGCGTCACGCGCCAGCCAGACTGAGCGGGCAAGGGCGGCAGCGGCAGCGAACTCACGGTCAGGGGACGAGGGGTCAGCAGGCATGGGGTTAGTGCTAGGAGGACGCAGGCGAGTGGTTTTTACTGGGCACACAGACGCTTCTTCGGCAGACGACGCTGAGACCCTCAGGTCCTCGCAGGGCTACTGCTTTAGGCTTGGTTCAGGTGCCGTCTCATGGAGAGCTACTTGCTCCTCGTCTGTTGCCCAGTCTAGCTGTGAGGCCGAGATCTACGCTGGTGCCATGGCGGTACAGGAGCTCCGCTGGCTGACCTTCTTGCTCACTGACTTAGGTGAGCGGCCTAGCTCTGCCCCGGTCCTGTACGCTGACAACAGGGCCTTGATCCTCCTGTGTCAGGAGCCTCGACTTGAGGGCAGAGCGAAGCACATCCAGCTGCGGTACTTCCTCCTGCGCGAGCTACAGCAGCGCCGCCAGGCTCGCGTAGTACACTTGGCCTACGGTGCCAACACAGCTGATATCTTTACGAAGGCGCTTGCGCCTAAAGATCATCAGCGGCACTGTGTACAGCTAGGTCTCGTTCTTGTAGCCTCTCACTTGCTAGGGCCTTGATTATGTACAGACCTTTATATATATTTTGCCCTGACTGGCCTTGTGGCCTCTCCCACTGGCTGGACTAGTAGTGCAACCCTGGTCTTGCTCTTGCCTTGGTTTGTACTTGTTTGATTGGTCTTTAGACCCTTGCCTCAGAGATTGGACTAGTAGTGCCACCCTGAGCTGCTTGTCTCTCAACAGACATTGCCCCTATCCAGTCTAGGGGGTGTGTCAAACACATTTGTGTTTGATATTGTAGACCATATAGGGTTGTGCCTTAGAGAGTACAGCCCCCTAGGTAATAATGCCTTGTACTCTGACATTCTAGTCATTCTTTCAGTTTGATAGTTTTGTCAAAAGGTGTTGTACTCTCTATGAGCATGCACCTATCTAGCTTATAACATATACAAATATATGTTGACACACCCCCTAGGCTAGACAAGGGGCGACGACTAGCACGAGACACGCAGCTCAGGGTGGCACTGCTAGTCCAACCTCTGAGGCAAGGGTCGGAAGACCTGTCTGCAAGAGTACAAAGGAAACAAGAGCAACCAAGGGCGGCACTACTAGTCCAGCCACTAGAACAGGAGCCACAAGGCCAGTCAAGATAATATATGATATAGTACACTGCAGGCCCTCTGATTTCAGGCAAATTTCCATGATTCAGGGTTTTTTCAGAGGTTTTTTTTTTCGAACCCTGATGCACTACCTGTAGGATTTTTTTTAGACACATCCCTGAAATTTCAGGGTTTTTTTTTTGTTGAACTCTGTTTGTACATCGTTGCTATTGTAGTGGACCCTGTAGCCTCTGTAACAGCGTGATTGCCCTGCCATAATAACCGCATATTTCCCTTGCTCGATGTTGTTAACAAGAGCTAGGTAGCTAGAAAGGGTAGGCGGCCATGGAATGGCG